CAATAAATATACTGCCTTATCTAGAATCGTCTTTTCTTTGATTTCCAGATTTACGGTATTAACATTTGTTATCCCGCGAAGTGATATGTTTATTTGGTACTACTACAAGAACATAATTAATCGATCGTTGTCCATTGAGCAACAAAAAGTTAATAATTTCGATGGGTTTGTAAGAGGCACAAACCAGCGTTTATCCGGTGAGTTTATCTGTCATGCCGATGAAAAAGAGAAAAGCAAACGTCAAGATCCAGCTCTCTGGGGCACAGCTTCTAGGGTCAGTAAATGATTTGGAAACATTTCTTCCTGGAGAAAAAGGACAGCTACTTGGTTACCTGGATGTTGATGTTAAGAGTGGCCAATATGTTAATGAGCGACGGTCATGTAACAGAACCAAGAGCAGAAAAAGCCGAAAGATCAAGATAGCGATTCGAAGACGCACCCCAAAATTTCAAGCAGGTTTCTAGTGATTTGAAATTAGCTTTTTCTATACAGATTATGCCCCTTGAGCTTCAGCAACTCCAAGCAGAGGTATGACTCACCGTCTGATCTGAACAGCTGTTTGAAGGACACGGTTTCCCATATTGTGAAAATTCCGTACCTTCATGTTTATTGCTGCCATGTTTGTCAAGTGTTAACTTTGTACTTTCTGAAGCGCCGTCTTCATCATCCAATGCCTTAACTCCTATATTTGAGAGCCCTTCAATTACTGAGAAAGAACCCAAATATTTTCCTCTTGTGAGCACTATCAGTTTCTATCTAATTGTCTACGAACCTCTTATTTACAAAATATGGAAATGAAGGAAACGAAACTACCAAACATGGATGAATCGTACTTCACAGTTTGGTCACTCATTCTAATGAACTTACAAATTCGACATACACAATAGATTATCGAATAAATACTAGTTTAATTCATTTCAATTTATCGGTTGGTCAAACACTTGAGATGACACGGTATTTACTATGATAGATATCGCTTAACTAGTAGTTAGTAAACCAGTCTTGCACTCTCCCTAACATTGACCCAGTAATTTCGTTCCTCTAGCACAAGTTGCAGATATTCCACAGTTATACTAGTAGAAGGAATCAGCATCCAGTCTAGGTCGTCTCAGTGACTTACATATTTGTTTCTGGGCATGACATACTGATTAGGACGAAGAACGTTTGTCCTTACTAGGTTTTCTTAGAAGTTATATTTCACGTCTCAATAATAGTGCAGATAAAATTATTTCCCATAATTATTTCTATTGATAATGACTCTTTGTTTACAATGGCTGATAATTAGCAACTTATCGGAAAACTGTATATTAGCAGTTCTGTGATAAGTCTAGCAAAACGTCATGTGTCGTTGAGCTACTCACAGATTGTAAGTAGCCACATTTCGAACACGACTTTTTTGTGAAGTATGTGGTCCCAGGTAAATTTGAAGAGAATTTTATGGAGAGGAAAATGACTTTCCATGAGTATGTGTTTTCTTCAAAATAGTACACCAGTAAAATAATGATCGGATTTCGTACCTCGAAATTTCTTTGTTAACACAGTATATGTATATCTTTCTAATCAATGCCATGTAATTACAAAGCATTGGATTTAGAACTAACATTTTACGGCGATGAGTCAGTCAGCCAGCTACAACGTAGAACTTCGGACTAACGTACATCGTTTCAAGTTACAATACCACACTAGCACACAAAAGGCAGTTATCAATTGACATCCCATAGTCAGAGATGTAGTAGAAATATTAGCAGCAATGGAGAAGCTTAGGGTTCGAAGTATGATCCAGCGAAATAAACATCGAAAGAGAAAAAAGATCGTGAAACATTAAGAAGATTAATATTTACAAAAAAAAGATGCACATGCACAAGGGCACACGATATTGAGCCATGTTGTTGAAGATGTTTAATTGTCCATTACTATTATCTCTCAGATTCCAACCAGGTAGCCTACATCTACCAACATGACTCAGTCCACTTGTCAGTGACTTCATGGGTTTGTGCCATGTTTTGGTTTGATCGTCCCTAGCTTTCTTTCAACCTACTCCTACACCACAAAACATAGCTCGTCAAAGCAGTTGGTGGTTGAGCATGCGTAACAAATGTCAGATGTAACTTCAATACTTCATCTATTGATCTGCCATCCCTACCTAGTACTCGTTTCCTAACGATAGCATTGCTTACCCGGCTGTCTCAGGATATGCAAGCGATGCTTCGGAGACATCTACAACTCTTACCGGCCATGTTTCGCACCCAGATGGTAGAATGGAGCGAACCACTACGCAGTACACTCGTCCTTTGGTCAGCAAACGGATATCTCGCCTTCGCCATAAGTGACGCAAGTTGGCAAAAGTCAATCGAGCCTTCTGGATCCGAGCTGAGATTTCGTCAGTCACCAGGCTATCATCGCTGATGAGACTCCCCAGATAAGTGAAGCGGTCTACACGTCCGACTACTTCACTCCAATCCAACCAAATCTTGTAGCAACATTTTGTATTTCGAGGGTGAGAACCGCATTCCCAACATGCTTACATTGTTGCTTAGGGTAGTCAGAAGACTTTGTATTTTGTCAGCGTTTTCACAAAGTAGTACTATGTCATCGGCATATTCTAGGTCAATCAGCGATCCCTCTGGTAGAAGGTCCACGCCTGAAAAATCTGACGAGGATAATGTCAACTCTAAAAGGATTTCTACGACAAAGTTAAACAAGAATGGGGAGAGTGGACAGCCCTGGCTAACACCACTCGAAGTAATGAATTCCGATGACGGCTCGCCGTAAGCTCTCACTCGACCAGTGGTGTTCGAGCAGAGAGCCTGTGTAAGGTTAATGTACCGTTTTGGTAGCCATTCTTAATAAATATTTTTTCCACTGTTTGAATGGGAATTCTCTCAAGAGAACAGTAACATTGAACCTACTTAAAGTTAATACCATTTCTTTATTTTTCTTATTCATGGTTAAAAATAGCATTCCAATCAACTATTCGTAAATGCTTACCTGGACGATTCAGAACAAGGGAATATTTGGTATGCATTCTAAAACTTTTCAGGATAATCCTTAACCTTGCTGAGCAATCTATTTCATAACTAGTTTAATCTAGACTTTCTTGACTCATATGAAATGACACAGGGAATGTATCGAAATGGTATACTAAAAATTTAAAGTAGGATTCTAAACACCATTGTTTACCCCCACTGAAACCATGTAACGAAACCATATGAGAATTTTTGACCTTTTTGTGAGCACGATAACTGGTAGACTTATTACATTACAGTAAACTTTATTTTCCCACTACAGCTTGGATTTCAGGCCCAAATATCCGTATTCGTCACTTCACCTTAAATTCAGGTGCCTATGGAGATTGTTTATTAAGTATTTATGATAGTCAAGATTCCAAATATGAATTTTTAGTTATTTCCCATTCAGCATTTTACAATCGTTACACTGAAAATATTTATTCAGAAAACGTAAACGGTTGTAGTCAATGAGGTCATAACGACGTGTTTAAATGAATTTCGAGTCATCTTGATAGTGAAATGTGATAGGGAACTATCTGCTAAAATTACTAACTTCCTAATGATCAAATAGTTTGAGGAAATATTGACAGACGGTTTTCTGCATGCAGATATTATCTATTTATTTATTACTGAGTCCCGGATCCCATTTGGAGTCATTTTTAACTATTTTAAATGGATCCTCCGTACTCACGGACTCGATCTAAGTGCCGGTCATTTGCTTTCCGAGCTCCAAACTCGATAAACAATACCCTAGCTGAGACAAGGCAGTGAGCAGGACTTCCCTGTCAGTTGCAATAAAGGTGTGATCATATGAGGAGAGCATTTAGACAGAGATTGAACTCAATCCATTCAGCCGTACTAGGGCATGAGGTATGGAAAAGGTTAGAATACAAGTTAGTATACAACTAAAATTATACGCTGAATACGCTAGGTTATACTACAGAAAAGAATTAAAATTTCTGTGCGATAAAAGTCGCAGTTAGCCTGAAGGACACTGCTGACAAACGCTACTTCAAATCCCCACTAGGTCGATAGACTAAGAGTAAATGTTGAGGTTTTTTAATGTGTTGAATTATTCTTTAGGCAATGACATTTCAGAAAATATAACGGCAGAACTAGTCAGAAAGTCTTGACTCAGACTTGGTATAAGAACACTATAGGTAAGTACTTGGCGGAAAAAAAACATGGCTGAACTCTGAGCACAAAATCTAGCATTAGCTTATAAAAATTAGCCGTAATAAATATACAATAACTTGCTTAGACCCTTGATTAGTACCGAGCTGTCGTCAACAGGATTTTAAGTTCAGGAACTACTTCCGTAAGTGTTGTTAAACGGATTCCATTTATATATACGACAATCAAACCTCATCTCTTCACTTGGTCAGCTGAAAAAGTGCTTGTAGCATTCATCATTATCATCAAAATGATCATCCACTTGTTATTCAGACAACTAAGGAAAGCCCTAAGAATTGACCATGACAACTAATTGTCAAACTAATCTTACTACATGGATGTATAAAGCATTAGCGTTTGGGGATCAAACTGTGATAACACTTTGGCTACTTCTATATTATTTATTTTAGTCCAAACAGAATAAGGAAAAAAAACATAACTGTTTAATAATCTGAATAGCCTGTAATTGCTATTGATTAGCTAGTGCTTCACATCGTGTACTGGGTAATCGTCAAAGTTTCTACTAGGATAAAGTGAAATAATATACATATAAGGTCAAAATAAACTCACAGCTATTTTGACTCATTACTATTCTGAATACGAGACCGGTAATCATAAAATAACCCGATTAATTGTGCGACAAAATGTTTGATATAGTTTACATAGTAAAACGAGTACCACTTTGCATAATCTGCCTGGAATTACGCAAATTAACTAAATGAACTTAAACTGAAGCAAAAATCTGAAAGCTATTGTAACCTAATAATCCATAGAAGTCAAGTAACGTTCTACTGGGTAACGTTTTAAATCCAAAAGTACGTGAAATATTGATAATCTGATAGCCAGAAAAATGAGAGTTGATACGGCTCTGAACGAAGTTTTGTAGCAAACTCATATCGTTCATAGAAGGTTATGTCATGCTTCAAAGATATCACGTTTTAGTCTATATTGACCCTATATGTCAAACATTCCAAGGCACTTTACAAGCCAAAATCATTAACATTTGTCGGTCTAATTTCAAAGGACAACATTTGTGGAAGTAAGTGAAACTGATAAATAAGGTTGAAACATTATAAACAAGTGATTGGTCAAGAAATATCGTAATTAAGAAATCAATTCGCAAAACATCACATCAGAGTAAACCACTTTTAAACACAGCAAACAACAATTTTTGAGAAACAGGACTTCCATACTGAGCAATTGCAGGCCTTTTTGAGAAGCTATAATCATTTTGTTTGGTTCCGAAGAAACTAACAGTTATAATAATCTAGTATTTCACAGAGTAGGTCACAACAGATAGTAAGGTTTATTGTGGAATTGATACTTGAGGTGTATACTGATTAAAAATAAACAAATCCATTTAGCCAAAGTTCATTCACAGATCATGACAATATCAAAAACGTTTTTCTATATGATACAGGGTTATAAAATGTATTTCATGATTGAAGTGATGATAGGCAAACAGAAATATTCGAGGATTCCAAATGAATAAACTCCTCAAGTATTGAATCTACCACATCAGGCGGTTTGCATTGAACAAGGTTTGTGCAACAGGACAAAAAAGCATTACGACTGGACCTGAACAGAAAAGTAGAGGTAGATATTAATGACACAGAACTTCAAATCAGATACAAAATTGAAGACTAATTCATAGAAAAGTTATGATGATATATTGTGAGGGTAGTAGTCTGAATTGTAGTTGTAATAACGGATTACTTTGAGTAAAACGTCTTCTCAAAGATATACGTTCACAAATTAGTATTTAAATGAAAGTTTTTATACTTTTGGGCGGCCAACTATAGAATAGTAGTGGTAGCGATAATACAAGTATTAGCAGTAATGAAGATAAAGGCTGAAAGATAATATCCCACAAGCATAATTCAGAGAGATAAATGAAAGATAGAGATGATAAGAATTCTGAACACTGACATTTGAGAGATAACAAATAGTGGATACACCTGCGACATTGCAAACGATATTGAGCCATGTTGTTGAAGATGTTTAATCATCCATTACTATTATCTCTCAGATTCCAACCAGGTAGCCTACATCTACCAACATGACTCAGTCCACTTGTCAGTGACTTCATGGGTTTGTGCCATGTTTTGGTTTGATCGTCCCTAGCTTTCTTTCAACCTACTCCTACACCACAAAACATAGCTCGTCAAAGCAGTTGGTGGTTGAGCATGCGTAACAAATGTCAGATGTAACTTCAATACTTCATCTATTGATCTGCCATCCCTACCTAGTACTCGTTTCCTAACGATAGCATTGCTTACCCGGCTGTCTCAGGATATGCAAGCGATGCTTCGGAGACATCTACAACTCTTACCGGCCATGTTTCGCACCCAGATGGTAGAATGGAGCGAACCACTACGCAGTACACTCGTCCTTTGGTCAGCAAACGGATATCTCGCCTTCGCCATAAGTGACGCAAGTTGGCAAAAGTCAATCGAGCCTTCTGGATCCGAGCTGAGATTTCGTCAGTCACCAGGCTATCATCGCTGATGAGACTCCCCAGATAAGTGAAGCGGTCTACACGTCCGACTACTTCACTCCAATCCAACCAAATCTTGTAGCAACATTTTGTATTTCGAGGGTGAGAACCGCATTCCCAACATGCTTACATTGTTGCTTAGGGTAGTCAGAAGACTTTGTATTTTGTCAGCGTTTTCACAAAGTAGTACTATGTCATCGGCATATTCTAGGTCAATCAGCGATCCCTCTGGTAGAAGGTCCACGCCTGAAAAATCTGACGAGGATAATGTTAACTCTAAAAGGATTTCTACGACAAAGTTAAACAAGAATGGGGAGAGTGGACAGCCCTGGCTAACACCACTCGAAGTAATGAATTCCGATGACGGCTCGCCGTAAGCTCTCACTCGACCAGTGGTGTTCGAGCAGAGAGCCTGTGTAAGGTTAATGTACCGTTTTGGTAGCCATTCTTAATAAATATTTTTTCCACTGTTTGAATGGGAATTCTCTCAAGAGAACAGTAACATTGAACCTACTTAAAGTTAATACCATTTCTTTATTTTTCTTATTCATGGTTAAAAATAGCATTCCAATCAACTATTCGTAAATGCTTACCTGGACGATTCAGAACAAGGGAATATTTGGTATGCATTCTAAAACTTTTCAGGATAATCCTTAACCTTGCTGAGCAATCTATTTCATAACTAGTTTAATCTAGACTTTCTTGACTCATATGAAATGACACAGGGAATGTATCGAAATGGTATACTAAAAATTTAAAGTAGGATTCTAAACACCATTGTTTACCCCCACTGAAACCATGTAACGAAACCATATGAGAATTTTTGACCTTTTTGTGAGCACGATAACTGGTAGACTTATTACATTACAGTAAACTTTATTTTCCCACTACAGCTTGGATTTCAGGCCCAAATATCCGTATTCGTCACTTCACCTTAAATTCAGGTGCCTATGGAGATTGTTTATTAAGTATTTATGATAGTCAAGATTCCAAATATGAATTTTTAGTTATTTCCCATTCAGCATTTTACAATCGTTACACTGAAAATATTTATTCAGAAAACGTAAACGGTTGTAGTCAATGAGGTCATAACGACGTGTTTAAATGAATTTCGAGTCATCTTGATAGTGAAATGTGATAGGGAACTATCTGCTAAAATTACTAACTTCCTAATGATCAAATAGTTTGAGGAAATATTGACAGACGGTTTTCTGCATGCAGATATTATCTATTTATTTATTACTGAGTCCCGGATCCCATTTGGAGTCATTTTTAACTATTTTAAATGGATCCTCCGTACTCACGGACTCGATCTAAGTGCCGGTCATTTGCTTTCCGAGCTCCAAACTCGATAAACAATACCCTAGCTGAGACAAGGCAGTGAGCAGGACTTCCCTGTCAGTTGCAATAAAGGTGTGATCATATGAGGAGAGCATTTAGACAGAGATTGAACTCAATCCATTCAGCCGTACTAGGGCATGAGGTATGGAAAAGGTTAGAATACAAGTTAGTATACAACTAAAATTATACGCTGAATACGCTAGGTTATACTACAGAAAAGAATTAAAATTTCTGTGCGATAAAAGTCGCAGTTAGCCTGAAGGACACTGCCGACAAACGCTACTTCAAATCCCCACTAGGTCGATAGACTAAGAGTAAATGTTGAGGTTTTTTAATGTGTTGAATTATTCTTTAGGCAATGACATTTCAGAAAATATAACGGTAGAACTAGTCAGAAAGTCTTGACTCAGACTTGGTATAAGAACACTATAGGTAAGTACTTGACGGAAAAAAACATGGCTGAACTCTGAGCACAAAATCTAACTGTCTTTGAAATCAGTCAGTCAGATGCAACGTAGAACTTTGTACATAAGTACATCAGTTCATGTTGCCATACCACATCAGCACAGAGAAGTAATCGTCAATTCAAATCCAATAGTAGAAGAGGTAGTAAGGGAATTAGAAATAATCGGAGAGGTTAGGATTAGAAGATACTATTCAAGAAGTATGATTCAGTGAGATAAGTTTAGAGAGTCGAAACTAGAGGGGTTGATGAGTCCAGAAGATTAGGATTTGAGAGAACACAGAGAATAAATGCACCGGCGCCATTGCGAACGATTTTGAGCCATGTCATTCAAGGTCTCTAACCATCGATTATTATCATCTCGCGGACCCCAACCAGGTAGTCGACAATTACCAACATGGCTCAGTCCACTAGTCAATGACTTCATGGATTTCTGCCATGTTTTCGTTTGGCCGCCCCTAACTTTCTTCCAACCTATTCCTACACTACAAAACAAGGCTCGACGAGGCAGCCGGTGGTTGGGCATACGCAACACATGTCCCAACCACCTCAACTGGTGAAGTTTCAATACTTCATCGATTGATCTGCCATTCTTACCTAGCACCCGATTCCTAATAACAGCGTTGCTCACTCGGGTGTCCCACGATATACGAGCAATGCTTCGAAGACACCTATGATCGAAAACCAATAACCGACGAATATCTTCTACTCTCACTGGCCATGTTTCACAGCCATAAAGTAAGACGGAGCGAACTACTGCGCAGTACACTCGTCCTTTAGTCAGCAAACGGATATCTCGCCTACGCCATAAGTGACGCAGGTTGGCAAAAGCCAATCGAGCCTTCTGTATCCGTGCTGAGATTTCGTCAGTCACCAGGCCATCGGCACTGATGAGACTCCCCAGATAAGTGAAGCGGTCTACACGTTCGACTACTTCACTCCCTATCACTAGTTCAGGTGCCGATGCAACCCAGTCTTGAATCAACATTTTGCATTTCGAGGGGGAAAACCGCATCCCGAACATGCTTGCATTGTTGCTTAGGGTAGTCAGAAGACTCTGCATTTTGTCAGCGTCTTCACCAAGTAGGACAATGTCATCGGCATATTCTAAGTCAATAAGCGAGCCACCTGGTAGAAGGTCTACTCCTGAAAATTCAGACGAGGATAATGTTATGTCTAGGAGCATGTCTATGATAAAATTAAACAAGAATGGAGAAAGTGGACATCCCTGACGGACACCACTTGATGTAGAGAATTCCGGTGACAGTTCGCCATAAGCTCTCACTCGACCAGTGGTGTTCGAGTAAAGAGCTTGTATGAGTTTAATGTACTTCTGTGGTACACCTTTCAATGACAGACACTCCCACAGAACCTCACGATCCACAGAGTCAAATGCCGCCTTAATGTCTAGGAAAACAACTACTGTAGGACGCCTAAATGTGTGTCTATGTTCCAGGACCTGTCTGAGCGTGAAAATGTGGTCTATACAACCACGTCCAGGTCGAAAACCAGACTGGTTTTCTCGAGTCTGCTCTTCACGAGCTTTCGTTAAGCGTCGAAGTTTTATTGAGGCCAGTATTTTAGATACTATATTAGTTAGACTTATTCCCCTGTGATTGTCACAAGAAGACTTTTGTCCTTTCTTATAGATTGGGACAATCAAGGATTGAGACCAGTCGGATGGGATTACGTCCAGTTCCCAGATTCTACCTAAGATCTCAGTCAACCTAGCTGCTAAAACTGGACCACCATCCTTAAATATCTCAGGGATCAGTCTATCAGGACCTGCAGCTCGTCCTCGTTTCAGATTTCCTAACGCTTTCTCAACGTCATTAAGACTAGGGGGACTTACGTCGATTTGCCATTCAGGATGACTGGAGATCGTGGGTAACCGAAGAGTGGCTCGTGGCCAGTTGAACTGATCCCTAAAGTGTTCTGCCCATCGATCCAGTCTCCTGGATTGAGAATGGATAATAAGACCATCCTTTTCCGAGATAGTCTCACTCACATTCGGGTTCTTAATACCAGTTTCCTTGATAAGTCGGAAAAGTTGTCTAGTGTTGCCGATCGCCGCTGCCTTTTCTATCGCTTTTGCTTTTGCCACCCACCACTGTTCGCGGTCGTTACGCAGACTTTTTATAAGTCTGCGCCTAAGCTGACTACGCTCTTCATCATGCTCAGAGTCAGGTGGGATGCGTTTTCGAGCATCCATCAGTTCGGTGGATGCGACTGAAATCCACGGCTTCATCCTAGCCTCATGGTTTACCTTACTAGCAG